TAAGGGGATGGAGAACTGCCTTCCATGTATGAAGGAAGGTAAGCATAGGGATCAACAGGAAATGCCAGGATTCTCCAGCAGACTATGGGGCCCTGGGGTAGACGTGTGTCTGTGTGTGTGCGTGCGTGCACGCTGACCCTTACAGCGACCCGTGTGTGTTGGGGTTTGTGGCAAGGTGATGTCTCTGCTTTTTAAGATGCTGTCTAGGTTTGTCATCACTTTCCTCCCAAGAAGCAGGCGTCTTTTAATTTCGTGGCTGCTGTCACCATCGGCAGTGATCATGGAGCCCAAGAAAGTCAAATCTGTCACTGCCTCCATATCTTTCCCTTCTATTTGCCAGGAGGTGATAGGACCAGTGGCCATGATCTTTGTTTGATGTTGAGCTTCAGACCATTTTTTGCACTCTCCTCTTTCACCCTCATTAAGAGGTTCCTTAAGTCCGCCTCACTTTCTGCTATCAGAGTGGTATCATCTGCACATCTGCATATCTGAGGTTGTTATTATTTCTTCTGGCAATCTTAATTCCATCATGGGATTCATCCAGTCCAGTCTTCTAATTCATTTTAGGTTAGTATTCTCATCATCAATGGTCAAAAAACTTCCATCCCTCACATACTAACACTTCTATTCAACAAGTTGGATTTCCACGTTGCGATGTACTTAGAACTGACTCATCAATACTCGTGTCACTTAAAAGAATGATGGTGCACCCAGGTCTAATTCAACATGTTTTGTTGTTGTTTAGTCATTTAGTCGTGTCTGACTCTTCGTGATCCCATGGACGTTAGTTCTTACTAAATCTGGATCCAACCTAGTGTTCATTGTTAAAAAGCATTTGAAGAGAACCTATTCTGCTACATTCAAACTCTAGCCTCCATCCCATTATGGGACAAGCCTAAGAGGAATGTAGTCTTTCCCTGTGTCTCATGACCTTCTATTCATGTTAAGCCTACGGTTGGTAACAGCTGATGCCCACTAGGGGTGATGGGGTAGAAAACACAGAAACTAATAGTGGGCGGAGTCAAGGTAAAAAGGTTGAGCCAGCAGCAAAAATGAGCATCCATACAGACATACGGAGACAGAGAGGCAGCCTGGAACTCACTCACTCGTAGTCTGCCTTATTTCACCCCATCCATACCTTCTATAACTCAGTTGGGCCTCCAGATGTTCTTGGACTTCAACTCCCAGAAATCCTGGCCAGCAGAGGCGGTGGTGAAGGCTTCTGGGAGTCGTAGTCCAAGAACATCTGGAGGCCCAAGGTTGGGGACCACTGCCTTATATAACTCAGTTGGGGGGCACCAAGCAACATGTTGCCTCCAAATTAGAGACATTCCTACCAGCTGCAGCTCATCTCTTCTGTCTCTTTAACCCAAACCCTGTCTCTGATAAGGAGACAAGCAGGACTGGGTAGGCTGAATGTGAAGCAGACCTGTGTCTCCCTGCCCTGAGAGACTGGCCTCCATTGCTCTTACTGCAGTTTTACTGTAATGAAAGAACGTTGGTATTGTAAATGTTTGCAGTAATTTGATGTGTGAGTTGCTTCTAAAACTGGCAGTAAGGCATAAGTGTGAACTATTTTCAGTAACTCTGACGCATTGTTAGGAATAAATGTTTTGAATCTGCAATCTCTCCCTGGAGTCTGAACAGTGTAGGAGGTTGCTGTATTTAGCACATCAAAGAGAAGCAAATTATGAATCTTTGAAGAATGATTTTACACCCCAACCTCCCCTTTTAATACAGCACTAGTCAATCAATAATCTTGCTGCTAACTCTGGGGAGGACTTTTAGTTGCCTTCATAAAATATTTTAATTGTCTAAAAATCATAAAATATAAGTAGGCACAATTTGCTTGGAACTCAAGAGAGTAATGCGAACAATAGAAAAAGATAAATGTTTGCTTTTCTGTAGACTTAAATCATTCTCTAAAATATGAAATGTAATGCAAAAATCCCATGAGTTATTGGCAATATTTACATTTGCAATAATAGGAATAAATATTAGAGCAGCTAGTTATGTACTCATCCGTGCACAAGAGAGAGATAAATACCTTGTTCAGACCGATGCATTAATTTCCCTCTTTTTTCAGATTTTATGACTGCTCATTCCTTTTTTCCTAAAGCATTGCTTTTAGACTGTGCCTTTCAGACAGAAGCATTTTATCAGGTGTTAGCATCTTTAATTCATACCTTAATAAGAGCAAATAATTCTGTGCCATCAAGTCAGTTCTGGCATATGGCTACCTTTTCCAGGGTTTTCCAGTTTGCCAGGTAGAGACTAAGAAGTGGTTTACCATCCTGTTTTTCTGAAGGTGCCCTGGGACTGTGCAGCTGGCCCAAGGCCACACAGGCTGGCTCTACTCACAGGAGACGCAGTGGGGAATCGAACTCCGAATCTCTGGCTCCACATCCAGATACCTAAACCACTGAACTAAAATGCAGGTGTTTATCAGGCAATGAACCGAGTACAAAATTACACAGAAGCTTGGAGGGAGTAGGGGACATGCAGTTGCTTCTTATGGCCGCATTTGCAGACACCCATCCATTATTTTCAAGTCCTACCTAGAGATTCCTTGTTTCCCCTGGTGGTTTCACATCCAATAATTTATCAGGCGAAGTTGCATTTAGCTTTCAAGAAGGGACAAGAAATCGATGCCTACTGGGTGTTATGGTGACACAAACGGTATCATCCGGAGTAGTTTGTCCACCTGACCAGTTCATCTCCTTGTTTTAGAAGGGACCGCCCTTCTGGTTCATAATGGATCCAGCTTGCACTACAGTACAAATAAAGACCCCTGTTTTGAAGGAGCCAAAGCTGCTTGTGTGATTCTCGGACAGCAGAGCTTAGGATGGAAGGGCAAAGGAAGCTGCTGCCCTTCTCCATCAGACTTTAAAGAGTTGTAATGGCTCTCGGACTCTTTCAGTTCTATCAGAGTAACAAGATGACAGTTCCATCAAACAAACCATTCCTGCTCCTTCCCTCCCCCGCGCCCCACCCCCACCCAAACTACTAAACAGCTCCACCC